AAATATGGATATTAAGTGGCTTATCCAGGCTCAGGAATTGAATGGTAAAGCTAGAATTAAACCTTAGGGTTTTTTTACAGCAGTCTTTGTGGTGGATTAAGGTATTGCTTTTTAAAAGGTTTCAAAAAGTTAGATAATCAATCAAGATCCTATAACATTACTTTGAAATCTCTTCTATCAGGAACTGCAAATACAAAACCAAATAAAACATACTCCCTTATATTATTGTTCCAGTTGGAAGTGGGGGTGGGGTTGGAAAAATGAGTGGAAGTAATAAGAGATTTATAATAGAATGGATAATTTATTCATGCATGCATTCAAATTATGAGAGAAAGTGTATTTAGAAAGTTATAGAAGAAGTAGAAGTGAGGCAGCTGGGCTTTGTAGGCTCAGGGAACAAGTTACAGAAGCAAAAGAAGGGCTGTTGGGAACTTAGGAGGGAGAAAGGCAAAGGTAACGTGTCTGCGGTGGGGAGGTAAAGGGGAAGAGGGAAGGCGCACACTCCAGAGAAGCAAAGCACACCATAGTGGATAATTTTAATATAGTGAAAGGAATGTTCTAATAGAGGTCCAGTGTGCTCTGTGAATACAGTGGAAGGAGGTACTAACTCTCTACCAGGATGGGGGGTATCAAGGAAGTGTTAATCTGAAATTTTTTTAGGAGTAGGGCCAACTACACTGTTTTCAGAAACAACATCTCCTGCAATCAAAATAGGTAGTGAGCACAGCTATTAAGTAGGTGTGCTTAATTAATGATTTCTCTGCTTTTTTTATATTAAAATAATTATAATAGCCTGGGCCATCTTTAGAAAGATTTGAAAAGCAGTTGAAGACACTGCATCTTATCTAGTCTCAAATACTGTTATTAAGTGTATTATGTGAGTAGCACAGTACATGGTTTCACTGGTCTAGTGGACCTAAGCATTGAATAAATGAGCCTAGAATTTCATGTTTCTCCTTATTTATATGGCCAGATTCTGTACTTGAACTCTCATTTTGAGTGTCCAGATGAGTAAATTTTTTCCCTAGTGCTTTAGCAACATGAAGCAACCATGGTACTGTATTGCTACATGTGATACTATAGGTAGTATCCACCTGTGAAGTGTTAATCAGACAATTACTGTCTAGTTGTGTAGTAAAAAATAGCAAATATCATTAACATGGCAATAAAAGCCTAGCATTTATAAAGCATTAGTTATTCAAGAACCACCTTATCGGCAATTAGTCTTAGGTCTCATGGCTACTGAGAAGGCATGGCTCTCTTGGGATACTGTGGCCCACTGATGTATTGTTAGTAATGACCTAAAAGAGGATGATATATGTGCCTGTTACAAATGGAATTGGCTTATGATAACATTAGGAAAGTTCCCTATTTCAGTAGTGGTTGGGGTGGGCTTCACTGAAGAAGCCATGTTTAAAATAAAACTATAGGATAAGAAACAACTAACCGTGAGAAAGGTCAGGAGTAGACCATTCAGGGCAGAGGAAGAAAGAATGTACAAAGGCCTTTAACATGTAAGAGAAGGTAACAGGGAAAAACCTGTGGCCTGGGTGCGATAAGGGAAGTGGAGATGAAACTGAAAAGGATTCGAGTAGCAGACTGAAAAGAAGTTTAAATTTTATTTAGAATGTAATTATATGCCTTTGAGACTTATTGAACAGGGTAGTGGAATCATGGAATTTATATTTTGAAAAACAGTTCTGGCTGCTGAGTCAAAGATAGTTGGATGAAGAAAGTAGAAGAAGCAGAGAGGCGTATTCAGAAGCCATTGGAATTCTCTAGTCAAGTGATGGAGAATAGGGTGATGCTATTGGAACTGGAAGAAATCACAAGGAGTAAGGCATCTTTGAGATTTAAAAAGCCAGCATACACTGATGGATTTAATATGGTGAGTAAGAAAGAAGGATTTCAGAATGGTACCCATTGTTCTGTTTTGAGTATCAATTTGGCGATGGTGTCACTTGTTAAAATTGGAAAGACGGGTAGAATGGACATCTCTGGATGTGGGAAGTAAAAGATTAGTGTTCAACACGTTTGGTTTGAGGTGCTTCTGATAATATACAAGTTGCCGTTTGAATTATATAAGATTAGAGCTCCCAGAAGAGGTCAGTAGCATGAATATAAATTGGGAGATGTCAGTATGTAGATAATATTTAAAAGCCTTCTAATCATGAAGTTATATAAGGAAATAGTGAAAAGACAGGGTTCTAAAACTAGTACTGAGGAAATCCAGCACTTGGATATCCAGTAGAGGGGGAGAAAAAAGCAAAGATTAAGAATGATTGGTCTTAGAAGCAGGAGGAAACTAAACTTGTAAAGAGGAAACTAGACTTGTAATGAATCTAGTGATTCATTAAGGAATTGTCATCACTAACAGTTATTGCTGGTAACATATGGGCACAGAAATGTCCTTTGGATATGGCAATACAGAGGTTGATAGTGATTCACAATAAACATTGCCAAGGTGTGGAAGAGTTGGAAGATAACTAGGGTAGAATAATGCATGGGAGGTGAAAAATTGGAGAGACCAGCAACTAGAGAGAAATACAGAGGTGGGCAAAAGAAGGCGTAGAGTCGTAACAAATAAATAACACAATAATTAATAATTGAGAATAAATTCTGTTTTGCATATTCAGAACTCTAAACTTACTTTTGCCCATCCCTGTCTTGTAACTTAGGGAGAGGTTTAGTTTAGTTCATTGTTTTATTATGCAGGTATCAGTGCATGTTTGCATACTGATAGGAATGGCTCACTAGAAAGAAGCAGTAATGAAGATGCAAGAAGAGGGGAGAAGTTAACTAAAGAAGTGAAAAAAATTTTTAAAGATTTTATGTATTTATCCTTAGAGGGAAAGGGAAGGAGAGAGGGAGAGAAACATCAATGTGTGGTTGCCTCTCATGTGTCCCCTGCTGGGAACTGGCCTGCAACCCAGGCATGTGCCCTGACTGGGAATCAAACCACAATCCTTTGGTTCACAGGCCTGTGCTCAATCCACTGAGCTACACCAGCCAGGGCAGAAGTGAAGTTTTTTAAATAAAATAAAAGGAGGGGGAAAAGAACAGATATTGGGAACTGTCCTTCAATCGGTAGGAAATTTCATCCTTTGAGACTACAGGCAAAAGATTTGCTGACCCACATAGATGTGTAGAATTAGTTATGGAAAAATGAGAAAAGTCCTCTCTGACAGCTTCTGGTTTTTTTTTGGGGGGGGGGGATATGAGATAAGTCATCAGATAAAAGTGAAGAGGGAATTGAGGTGGAAAGTTTGAAGAATGAGGAAAAGTGAAGCAGTCGTTGTGGGCAGAAAGTGAACTATTAACACATGTTGTTAATTGTCCAGAGTAGTTAACCATGAATTTATGGTGTTGCCAGAACAGTCACTTCTTTGATTTTCTCTGTTTTGGCTATGTGTTGGTAGTCAAGTTAGTAAAAGAAGACAGTTTGTTGAGTTTATCTCTGGTGGTATGAGCATTAAATCCTTTCAATTCTTATTTTTTATCTCTTCTATTAATTTTTAAGACTATCTCTGTTCCATTTTTAAATAAAATTTTAAATTAGTGAGTTTCAATATGTAGCTTATTTAATAATGTAATTTACCACTAAAATAGTATAATATAGACTGTCACAAACTCTAGCTTCTAGTCTGATTTTAAAATTATAAACATATGTCTATGTGTCTGGATGTGGCATAGTATGTTTCTCAGTGGTCTTTACATGACATACCCCAAATGTTGTTATCCTTATTTGCACTTAAGTGGATCCATGTGTAGGAAAGGATTAGTTGTAAGGAAAGAAAATGTTTGAACCTTCGGATTCCCAAGTAAGCAAGTACTTGTTGCCATGCTGAAATGAATTCACTTTTCCAAGACTTTCAAGGTAGATTTTGTGATCAGGGAATGAGAGCTTATACCTGTTACCCTGAAGGGGCAATTGGCTTATTCAGATGAATTAAGAAGCAGTTTGTTTCTCAGAAAGTTTTAGTCATTATTTTGTATTGTACACACAGCAAAAAGGGAACCAGACTGTGACCACAGATGTCACACAGGAAGTCTTCAGTGTCTATGGGCTATTGGGTTAGTGGCTATAAAGTATTCTTCTATGTTTCTTTTTTCAGTAGTGGAACCATATGTATGATTTTTTGTTATTGAACTATGGATTCAAAAAATTAATTTCTGGTCAGGCATTTTTGCCATGTCTCAATGCATATACAGACCACTGCCTTAAAAAATTAAAAAGGCCTGCTGGGTTGAAGTACATCAAGGTTTGAAGAATAAATAAGAAATGATGTACTTAATTTAAGTTGAAAAATACTGATACATTCATTATGTTAGAGAAAAATGTTAGTACATGGTAGTCTGCCATGAAAAAAATTAAGTTTTTTACCTAATTAAACACAATCAAATTATCTGATTTCAAGCAATCAAATTTTCTGAATACACATGTAATCATAATAAAACTGTGATACTTAATAATTCCAAATACTACAATCTTTTTTTGTAAGAACTCTTTGTTTCTTCTTTAAACATATTTATTTAAATGACCAGAGAATACCAGGGCTTCATACTAAGGTAATAATCCATATTTGAACTATACCTTTAGAAATTAAAGGAGTAAACTTTACATTCTATTATTACCCCAAGTCATTTCATGGATAATTAATATTCTGCCAAACTAGACAGTATCAGAAACTTTTATCTGTTTTTAAAAAACCAGTAATTCACCTTTGATGAATATGAAATGATACTAAAAAAATAAAGTTCAAAACATTGATTTCATTAGATAAGAAACATTGGGCTATGAGAAGTTAGACAAAGATAGCATCGCTTTTCTCTTCCACTGTCACCACCACCATGGCCATTCCGTCCATGACCATTCCATCTCTGATCCTCTGTTTGGAGAAGTCAGAAAATTGCCACCACTTTCATTATCAATAGTAAGGTAACATTCCAGTTATTTTCTAACAGTTCTGTGCATACATGATAGATTCTTATCATTCCAGGAAGAAGCTCTACTTCTGATGTACTAGACACACACAAGTCTCCATTCTCTCATCAGACCTTTCTTAACAAAGGGCTTAGTAAATCTATGGGATTTCTGTCCATCAGAGACACGCAAGATGAGGAAGATTATTTCAAGGACATTTTATCAGATAATAATTCTGGACATGAAGATTCTGAAAATACTTGCTCTCCTTACCAATTCACAACTAGTGGTCCAGAAACAAAAGCTATCCCTGGCATTGATGTGATTCCCAAGAAGAAGATTTGGGCTTCATCCATGGACTTGCTTTGCACAGCTGACAGAGACTTCTCTCCTGGGGAGACCAGCAGATACCGACACTGTCTCCCTGAGGCAGTAACAGCACGGTCTTCGACTGCTCCTAGAAGAAAGGAGGCAAGATACTCAGATGGAGGCATAGCCCTGGATATCTTTGGCCCTCAGAAAATGGATCCTATGTTTCACAGGCGAGAGTTGCCCACCTCCTCAGCCATATCAAGTGCTTTGGACCGAATCCGAGAGAGACAAAAGAAACTTCAGGTTCTGAGAGAAGCCATGAATGTAGAAGGTTAGTAATTTTGTGTGTTTCAGAGAGAACTGAATTGAAATACTTAAAATTGTGTTTCGAAATAAAGAGGGTTATTAAACCATTCCACAAGTCTTATTTTCACTGCCAAACCTTTGCACCCAGGTTAGTCTTGTTTCTCTATCAGTTTCTGTGCTCCCTTCTATCAAACCCCTAATCCAGGAACACTGCTTCCACAGTCAGCCCTACGAAACAGTCCCAGGGCAGTTACTCTATACTCTCCATGTTTTGGATAGTATCTTTTTAGATTGCAAGCTTCTTGGAGACAGGCACCATGGTTTTTGTTTGTTTGTTTGTTTGTTTGTTTACTTTTTTAATTATCCAAGGTACCGTGTGTCTTGTGGGAGTCTTCCGTGAAGGACTGGGTCACAAAAGTGAGGTGGACGCCGGGCAGTGCACAGGTAGTACAGTGCGGTGCCTCCCGAACCACCAGTCTCAGAAAACAAGTTCTGGGATACAGCTCCTGGAGCTTAGAATTTGTTCTGTTTGGAATGAAGTTTTAAATCTGTGTTTTTAAAATCATAGTATTTAATTGTATAAATTTAGAGGGAGATAGCCTATGTGTAAATGATTTACTCCATTTAATAGTTATGTGGACGGACCTTACTTCAGCAATTGGGCTTAATCACCCTGAAGTGACCCCCCTCTGTAAAATGTTCTTAACAAAAATAGATGAACTGGCTAATGAATGTAAAGTGATTAATAAATCATATTATTACATTATTAGTATGAGAGGCATAAAAATAACTTGATAAATGATAAATTCTTATTTGCAGGGCAGAGCTCTATTTCAGCAATACCTGATTCACATACAAAGGTCAATATACTGAATGGAATAAAACTGTGTTCTAGACATATGGATGGACAGGGGCTATTTTTAGTATAGACAGATGAAGAGAAAACAAAATAAGACAGTTTTTTATCTAACCCTCTACATTTTTGAGGATTAAACTTTTACAACTACCCTTTGCCTTAGACACACTCTGGGGCATAGCTGATGAAGAGGGACTTAGAGGAGCTTTCTAGTTCAGTGAGTCATCTCATCATCAAGGGTCATGTTCATTTTTGAGGCGATTGTCTAGTAGAACATTTTTGACTCATTGATTGCCTTTAAAATGCTCTATCTTTAAAGGTTTGTTTGTTCCTTAAGTTTTAAGCATAGTCCTAGAATTGAACATACTCTCCACATTGTATTTTACTTCTAGTAAAAGAAGTTTTACAATTGTTTTCTAAGTTCAGGAATTGCAGGTTAGTAAATAATTTGAAATTACAGAGGAAATCATTGAACATTTAATTGCTATTACAGGTTCGTGTATACATGCATTTAAAAAATACTAGTTAACTCTATGAGATAGTCAGATACAACCTTGATCTGAAAAGTGTCAAATACAGAAAATAAAAACTTAGAAATTTGTTTTTGCATGATTTCAGTGTTTAACTTTGATCAGTAAATTTTTAGTTATGACAGCAAATAGGCATATCCTATAGCTTAAAACACTCTCCCTGTTCAGAAGTTGTGTTTTGTAGCTGCTTCATGTGGCTCAGCAGCTAGCACGGGAATGACAGTCTAGCCTGACTTCTCAGCGTAATCCCTCCTAGATAAATTTATGTAAAGGAATCTTGCCTATTGTGGAATAAAAAAACGAAACCTAAATTATTTAAGTAGGCAAACCATGATGGTCTCAGAATATAGATAGTGAAGATTGACACCAATCTAGATGACCATGTATAATGTTTAAGAGGTTTAGTAGTATATTTTCTTCACATGAGCATATTACAAGTAAAATCACAATTTTTAATGTTCTCAAAAGATTGACTATTAAATGGGGATTATTAAAGTTCAAGAAGGTGTTTATTTCTTCAGATAATGCATGCATGCGTGTTAAGGAAACTGAAATAAACCAAGTTGTTTCCAAATATGCATATATATTTGCAAAAATGGTGTATTATGTACACCCTTATTTTTTTTAAATGGTAACTCGTTATAGAGCACAATTTCCAGCTTTAGAAATTTCTGATTCATTACAAGAGTTAAAAGGGAAAAAAATTTTAAATATAATGTGCTTTGAATTGTTTGATAAAGGACAATTTTCATCGCTATTGAAATCTTCTTCACTAATGAAGAGTTGTCAGAAGCACTTGCTCCCACAAAGAACCTATGCATTTTTCCCAGAGTATATATATATATATATATATATTTAATATTTTATTTATTTATCTTTAGAGAGGAAGGGAAGGAGAGAAATATCAATGTGTGGTTGCCTCTCTTGGGTCCCCTGCTGGGAACTGGCCTGCAACCTAGGCATGTGCCCTGACTGGGAATCGAACCACCATTGTGTGGTTCGCAGGCCCGCTCTCAATCCACTGAACTACACCAGCCAGGGCTCCCAGAGTATATTTTATAACCAAGTAAAATAGCATAGTTTAAATATGTTGGTTTATGGAAATGCTTCCACCACTCTAAGTAAACTCTCTTATTATGTAGTAACTTGCAAGTAGTAATAAATTATATTTGCTTTATTCTAAAGGAATGTTTGATGTTTGGAATTCAAGCAGTAATTCTTTTAGTTATTTAGTTGAGTAACTTACTGGTTTTGTACTGTGCTTTTTTTTAAAGGTGAGATAATTTGTTGTGCAAAAAATTGTAGATTATTAATAGAAGATTTTAGCTGGCATACAGAAAAAATAGAAAATGATAAATCCCATTTATCTCATTTAATTCTCATTAAAAGCAGGTTCCACAGATCCCTTTTATGTGTGATATATCAAGCAGAACAGTGGATGTTATTAATGTACACATTTCTTGTACACATTTCTTTTTAAAAAAATATTCTTGTTTGACTCATAGATACAGAGAACAAACTGATGCTTGCCAGAGATGGGCAATGGGAGGATGGGTGAAAGAGATGAAGGAGATTAAGAGGTACAGGCTTATTATAGTTATAAGTCACACGGACGTAATGTGCAGCATAGTGAACACAGTCAATAATATTTTCAGTAACTTTGTGTGGTGATAGAGTTATTAGATTTCTCATGTTGATCACTTCATAAAGTATATAAATATCAAATCACTATTTTGTATACCTGAAACCAATATAATATTGTAAGTCAACTACACTTTAAGTAAAAAAGAGCTTTGCATTCCAGAATAAAAATTAAAATGTATATATTCTTGTTTTAAAGCATTTAAAAATATTGCTTATGGCTCTGTACAATTTTTGTGAACTTTAAATTTGACACTTGCTACTGGATATCAGTAATATTAGAGTGAGAAGAGGTCTTAGAGTGCATGTTCTCAGGCTTGTGAAGATTTAATAATGTACTCAATATCACATAACAAGTTAATGGTAGAGTTTTCACCATTATGGGAGATTATGATTTCTATCATAGGTTTCAGAGTTCCAGTCTAAGGATTTCCCACTACATGTCATTTCCTAATTTTTTTTTTAAATTTAAGAAAGGTTTAAATTGCAGCTGACATTCAATATTAACACCAGTCTCACATGTACTGCACAGTAGGTAGACTTTTATATAATTTACAGAGTGATCCACCCATAAGTCTTATACCACTAACACCATATATGATTACGGTATTATCAACTGTATTTCCTTTACATCCAGGTGACTATTTTGTAACTGCCTATCTCTACCTCCTAATCCCATCACCTTTTCCACCCAAACCCCAACCTCCCTTTTGGCAATCATCAGTTATTTTGCCTGTATCTGTGAGTTTGTTTCTGTTTTGTTTGTTCATTTATTTTATCTTATTTCACTAAGCATAATACCAGTGTTCATTGGCTTACTATAACAATTGGAAGAAAAGAAATTTTGAGATTTCATTTTGTCCTTTTGGGAATTCGAGGAAGCTCATTGGACTAATGGGAAAGGCAGTTGTCTCCTTCACCCTTAGGTGTGTAGTCCGTTCCTTAGCCCATCCTCTTCAAAGGAGCCTTTACCTAAATCACCTGCACTGATTCTCTTCAGCTGACATCAACCTGCCACCATCACAGGGGCCACAGGCCTTAAAATCAAGGAGTTTGGTACTGGAAGGAAACTGGATCCCATTTAAACCAAACATCTAATTTTCGGAGGCCCAGAGTAAACTAGTTTGCCAAAGGATGTGAATAATTCATAACAGAGCTGTATTTAGAATGCAGGTCTCTTAAGCTTCAGAATAAGATTTTTTCCACTGTTATTCTGATTTCAAGCAGAAACCAGATATGTTGTCAGGAAAACTTTTATTACTGCCAGGGAAGCTGGACATTCAACTAACCACCTACCAAATCCCTTAAGTTTCTTTCTAATCTAATAAAGTTATATCTTTTTAAATGCAGGAAAACATGATCATATTATGAAAACAGGTTCAAAAGGAGGCACTTTGGTTCTTTCTACAGTAAACCACACTGGGTGGGGGTGAAGAAGGACCTCCGCTTTGACACCGGCTGTGTTACCGTGGGTAATGTTTTCCTGGGGCTTTGCTAAGGTTGGATCTGTAAGGCGGATGTCCTGTAGCTGACAAGGTGAGGGAGGGAGTAAGTGGTTGGCATTGAGTGCTCTGATTTCTTTGTAAACAAAATAACAAAGTTAGCAACAAAAGAAACTATACTTGGAGGTTAAAGATTATAAATATAAGATTATTATCGTGATTAAGTTAAACGTTCAGATACTTCTCTATATACATAAAGCAGTAGGGAAGGGTCATGAGGAAACATCAGATTTCTCTCGTGAAAACTAGTTTTAAAATTTGATGTCATTTTCATTTATTGCTTTATTCTTTATATTCCTCCTCTTTCACTTCACCATAGGACTGTCCTATTCTCTTTTTTTTCCTTCTTTGTCCTCACTGTTTTCTTTTCTGCCTTTCATCTCATGATCTGAGACAACTGTCTATTTTCTAAGAGGAGTATTTGTTGTCATCTTTCCTGTGAGGTAATTACCACACACTCCCTATCCATTGCTCTGTGATTATGAGATAGCAGTTC